GGTTGCTTCCTGAACGAACCTGCTCTCTCGCCCACGAGAGAAAGGTAAGATTATGGGGGTCTTAACACCCAGCAGGCGAAAGAGCCTATTCCAACATTAACTCCCCCAGGAAACCTATGTCACTCACCCCTGGAAGGGGCTATTTGCTCTTGTCAACCCGTGGACCTCGTTCCATGCTTTTAACCCAGTATTAATGAACGCCCCGCGGTGTTTGCTGACTTTTCTCGCCCATAATGAGACCATAAAGATCAGCTTTAGGACCTTGCTTCGTGACCCTAGATAGATCCTTTTCTCCTCTCTATCTCACTTTCCCCGTGTGTATAATGGAGATACTAACTCCAGACACCAGCCTGTTATGTTGGTTTGAAGACAGAACCAGATCAGGGAAGCCAAAGACTTTGTAGGCTATAAAACGGTGAAATTAATCTCCACCACCCTCCCCTTCATGCTGAATATTTTTCAAATCTTTGTGTCATTTCTTGAGGCAATCATTGCAACTCCCTCACCCCCAGCCTGAAATAAATCCCTTTATTCTTCACTCCCATAATGCCCTGCATTTCAACGTCCTTAACAGCAGCTAGTTACCATAGCTTACTCTGTGCCAGGCCCTGTTAAGCACTTTATCTAGGTTACCTCATTTCATCCTCAGAAGATCCTTATAAGATAGGCACTGTTTTCCCTGTTTTCCAGCTCTGTTGTGCTTATTATTGTCTATTTAATGTCTTCTGTCTCTCTTACTGGACTTTTTGCTCTGTGAGGAAGGGCCATGACTCTCTTTTACACTTGATTTTCCTGGCACCTAATACAGAGCCTGATAAATATTTCTTGACTAGCATGAAAATGTCTCCTCCCATCACTACCCTCACCTTCAAGAGAAGTGTATTCTCTGCAAACTTTTTGTCACTGTGATCAATAGCATCCTCTATACCTGTTACCCACTGGGCACTAATTTTGGGGACCCTCAGTCCACTTTTCTCTGGATTTTCGGGCGATAAAGATCCTTCATTTTGGGTAATGGACATCCCATAGCATTTAGGCTTTCAACTGAGTTTTGAGGGGATTTTTCTCTGCCCCCACATGACCTTTAGAACAAACACCCCATCTGCCATTCCTGAGGTGAGCCTGATGCTTTGGGGCATTGGCTGGTAGGATTTGCCTATGTAGCCTTTGGCCATCCTCTCCAGCAGCTTAGGAATCATTCTTACTTCTACTAAGCTCTTCGCCCAAACTCTAGACAAAAAAAAGCCAGGGAACTCATCTTTTCCAGAAGATCTCTCAGAACGCAGAGTTGTGGCTGTTAGAGTCATTCCTTCGTTTAACAAATATTTATCAAGCACCTACTTGTAGGGACACAGAACTTAGCATTAGTGATATGGTAGAAGTAAAGATAGTTACAGTGAATCTCAATAGAACTCACAGACAAATCAAGGCAAAACCCCATCTTCAGGAAATGGTAGGAAGAAGAACACTCAGGGCTTAGAAAGCCTGGAGCAGGGACTTGATCAAATGTGGGAGAGGGGTATGGTTCCAGGAGGTTTCCCTCAGGAAGCGACCCTTGACTAAGATCCCAAGTCCTCTGCTGAATGGAATAGATCAGGATCTGATAGGCTTGTAGAGAAGGAGGGTTCTGGGCTGAGAGAGCAGCAAAGGCCCTGGGCCAGAGAGAACCAGGTGTCCATAAGGCACTGCTAATGGCTCAGCCTAGCTAAGGCCCTTCAGGATGTAGGAAAAGCTAATAAGAGGCTAGAGATGGGCAGGAGCCAGACCACAAATGGCCTTGACAGCCAAGCCAAGGGGCTCTATCTCATCCTGACAGTGGGGAGCCAGTGAAATATATTAAGCAGGGGAACAGAACTTCTGCTCCTCATTTGTCTATGCCTAATGAAGGCTGCTATTTGGCCTTGAGAAGTGTGCGTTAAATATGAATACTCCTATTTCAGTGGAACATGTGAAAATGTGCTATTTTTTTACAGCTATGTTCAAGACTAGGAGAATGAAGGGCCAGGGATTTCTTAGGAGAAAACAGGGCTATGCCCCTCCATGGGGTGCATGCCACAGCCCTGCTGCACACAGCATCATGCTGGTGTAGCTTGTCTACCTGAGGCCCCTCTGCTTCTCTGCACTTGCTCCTGGGAGCTGCTATATAGTGTGCCTTATGCTGGCCTCCAGGAAGCTTTCAGCCACCCTCTTCCCCAGGCATTCCTTAGAGGCAAGGTGTAGGAACTTGGTTAGTGATGTAGTACTCTGTGATTTACATCACTTCTACAGGGGCACATCTGGTCTCTTCAAAGGGGTAGTTCTTGAAGGGGGGAAGCTGAGACCCTACGTCCTCTTATACCACTAGTGACTCCCAGCACAGTAGGCTCTGGTACCGTATCACTGGTTCAGAGTCTCATGATTTAAGCATAAAGTCAGAAGAGAAGGAAAGCTGTGTGAGTAGTTCCCACTTAGAGGGAGAAGAGGGCCGTGTGAACCTAGGTAGAGAGGCCAGGCCACATCTGATGGACACCAGTCAGCCTACCCAGCTAGAGACATGGAGCCCCTCAAGGGAGGCCTTGAGTTCCAGACTTGAAGATAAGTTCTCTGGCTAATTCTGCTGTGATGGCCAGAAGACCACCTTGGGGATTCTGCTGTAGATCCATCCATCCATTTCCCAGGAATCCCCTGCAGTTGGCTTTCTGGCCCAGCTGGGCTCCTGCTCTCTAAACATTCTCTCCCTCCTTGCAGTTTCCCATGGCACAGCCTAGCAGAAAGATGCAGCCTTTGTGCCTCACTGGCCGCTGACCCACTGGCCTGATGACAGCACCCCCGTGTACCTTTCCGGTTCAGTTCCGGCAGCCATCAGTCAGCGGCCTCTCACAGATCACCAGCAGCCTATACATCAGCAATGGGGTGGCTGCCAACAACAAGCTCATGCTCTCCAGCAACCGGATCACCACGGTCATCAATGTCTCGGTAGAAGTGGTGAACACTTTATACGAGGACATCCAGTATGTACAGGTGCCAGTGGCTGACACACCCATCTCACGTCTCTGTGACTTCTTTGACCCCATTGCTGACCACATCCACAGTGTGGAGATGAAGCAGGGCCGCACACTGCTGCACTGC